CTCACACACACACTCACATACTCACACACACTCACTCGCACACACACTTACACACGTACGCACTCACACACACACACTCACACACACACATAATCAGTTTCTGTGTTTCACGGCTTCATTCCATAGACCTAATGCTTTTTCTACTGTACAAACTGTATTTTCTATCCCCTTACCCTAGGGCTGCACGATATATCGTTTCAGCCTTGATATAGCGATGTGCGGTGTTTAGTATAATGCATGCATTCTTTCACTGCATTCTTTTCCTCGTGATTATTATCTTTTTTCCCTTTGCATTCCGCTGTAATAGTATGAAAAATGACAGCATATACTGCACATATACAGTTCTCCTGATTTAATTTACGATATATCCCATTATTAATTCACTGGAATGCATGAAGAATCTCTGGTTTTTCTTCTCAAATCCTCTCGTCTCATTCCAGGTTTGTTTGTTTTTACAAACAATACAATAAATACAATTATACAATTGTATTATGTATTATTGAATAATGTCATCTCAGTGTATCCAATTTAATAAAAACATATTATTGCGTTCATAGAGTGAGCCTTTCACTGATTGTTTGCAGCTTAAGGGAAGTTACACTCATAATTGTAATAATTGTGTGTCTCAGGCCAGTCTGGAGGAGAACCGAGATCTCATTGATGGAATCACAGGATTTGAGGACTCAGTGCGGAAATGTAAGTTATTGTTGTTACTAATAATATAAATTATTATATTTCATCATCTGCTGTTCACTGAAACCTATGGAAGCCTGTTTCCACTATGGAATTAAAAAAAGGTAATAATGACTTATCTCACTTTTTTCTGTGCATTTCTGTCTTGCAATATCTCACAGTTCTTTTTTCTCAGAATTGGGTTTTTTCATAACTCTTCGTTTATGTCTCACAACTCCGTGTTTATATCTGAATATTATATCATTTTCTCGCAATTCTGATTTTTTTTCCTCTGAATTATCTGTTTTTCTCACAATTGCAAGAAAAAGTCTGAATTGTGAGCTACAAAGTTGCAATTACCTTTTTTATTTTTTATCCCGTGGCAGAAACAAGTGTCCATAGAAATAAAGTTATAACATTAGACAAGATTTCTTGCACCAAAACGGTCATAAGTTTTACATATATTTGATGCTTACATTTATTTTTCATCATATGAGTCTCTAAACCACTGCATTCACAGAACTACGAGACTTCTGCGCTTACATATTATTATTATTATTATTATTATTATTATTAATATGAATTTCCTCTAAAGGTGCAGTGAGCGCGATTTTGTTGTGATTTATGGATCTCATGTGTTGGCAGTGCTGTTCTCAGTGAAACACAGACATGATTTTCACTGTGTTTTGGTCTGAATGTCATGTGTTTGTTCTCCAGTCATCTGTCACGTCGTGGGAATCACGTATCAGAACATCGAGTACCGGCTGCTGGCTGAGATGCTGGGAGATCCTCTGGGTGAGACGCTGTCCTCCACACTCACTCACTCACACACACACACACACACGCACTCGCACACTCACACTCACACACACTCTCTCTCACACACACACGCACTCGCACACTCACACACACTCTCTCACTCACACACACTCTCACACACACTCTCACACACACTCTCACACACACTCTCACACACACTCTCACACACACTCTCACACACACTCTCACACACACTCTCACACACACTCTCACACACACTCTCACACACACTCTCACACACACTCTCACACACACTCTCACACACACTCTCACACACACTCTCACACACACTCTCACACACACTCTCACACACACTCTCACACACACTCTCACACACACTCTCACACACACTCTCACACACACTCTCACACACACTCTCACACACACTCTCACACACACTCTCACACACACTCTCACACACACTCTCACACACACTCTCACACACACTCTCACACACACTCTCACACACACTCTCACACACACTCTCACACACACTCTCACACACACTCTCACACACACTCTCACACACACTCTCACACACACTCTCACACACACTCTCACACACACTCTCACACACACTCTCACACACACTCTCACACACACTCTCACACACACTCTCACACACACTCTCACACACACTCTCACACACACTCTCACACACACTCTCACACACACTCTCACACACACTCTCACACACACTCTCACACACACTCTCACACACACTCTCACACACACTCTCACACACACTCTCACACACACTCTCACACACACTCTCACACACACTCTCACACACACTCTCACTCTCACACACACACACACACACACTCTCACACACACCCCTGATGATGTCTGTCTCACTGCAGACACACAGGTGAAGGTCTGGATGAATAAGTACGGCTGGACGGAGAATGAAGATGGACAGATATTCATTCATAACCAGGAGGAGAGCGTCAAGCCCAAGAACATCGTGGAAAAAATCGACTTTGAGAGTGAGTTTCTCTTAATGACATCGACTTCTGGCTGTAATGTTGAAGTGTTTGTCCTGATGACTGATGTTCTCTGGTGTTCGCAGGTGTGTCCAGCATCATGGCGACGTCACAGTGAACACACACACACACACACTCCATCTCATGCCTGAGTTTCCTCTTGATTTAATTTTACTATAAAGTCATTTCAGTTAAGAAATTCGGAGTCTTAATTTCATTAAAATTGAGATATTTATGCAGCTTGATGTTTTAATTTGTTTTTCACATTTCAGTTTATACATCAACACATTTTCTTGACTCATTTTTTCTCTTTTTGTTGCTCTTGGATTTTGGATTTTCATTCTTTAGGAAAGAGATCAGAAATGTATGGAAGCTTGTTTTCTCCACCGGTAACTTGCAACTTTTTAGCTCACAGTTTATATCTCACCATTCCAACAGTTTTTTCTGGTATGTTGCAATTCTGACTTATTTCTCAGGACTGTAAGAAAAAAAGTCTGAATTGTGAGATATAAACTAAAAATCGCAAGAAAAAGTCCAAATTGTGTGTTAAAAAGTAAGTTTACTTTTAATTTTTTCATCCAGTGGCAGAAACAAGCTTCTATACAAATGTGATTCTAGATTTGAATTAGATGTTTCAAATATGCATTTATAAATTATAATAAAACCTGAGACTGACGGACCTCCTCTGTGTGACAACTAGCCCCAGGCTGATCTCTAAAGAAGACAAAACTGCACAGAGAATCAGTGGATGTGCTAAATATTGCCTTACTTTTGACAAATTTTCAGGGTTCTGCTGTGTGTCTGAAATATGAAGGCAGGCTGTGATGCGCTCAAATGATTGAGATTTATTTTATTTACACTGAATACTGAATCATCATTTTTGTTGGTCACAGGGCAGATTTCATATCAAACAATAATTTCGCTTTGATTTAAGGACTAGTTAATGGTTAGGGTTGGTGTTAGCACAATGTTTTACTGGAATAGTTGGTCCGCCCAAGGGTTATTGGTGAAAATGTGTTGTATTTGTTATGTGCTCACTCTCCGTTCATCCGAGATTCGCTCATAATAATCACACCCACACACACACACACACACACACTCTCACACTCACTCACACTCACACTCGCTCACACTCACACACACACACTCACACTCACACTCACACACTCACTCACACACACACTCACTCTCACACACACACACACAGACACACTCACACACACTTAGTGTCCCTATCACATATCATATACTATTGTTTTTATAAAAAAATCAATTCTAATGATTATAGACAAGAAAACAAATAAGGTTCAGAGGTTCAGATTTTTTAAAAATGTTTTAAAGTCTCTTCTGTTAATCAAGGCTGCATTTATTTGATCAAAAATATTTAAAAATAGTGAAATATTATTAGAATGTAAGACAGCAGTGTTCTCTGTGAATATCTGTTAAACTGTAATGTATTTCTGTGATGCGCAGCTGTATTTTCAGCATCATTACTCCAGTCTTCAGTGTCACATGATCTTCAGAAATCATTCTAATATGCTGATCTGCTGCTCGAGAAACCGTGATGCATTTTATTTTTCAGGATGAATAGAAAGAAAATAGCATTTATTTGAAATAGAAATCTTTAGTGACATTATAAATGATCAATTGAATGCAAATTCTTTAAAAAAAAAAGTGCTGATCCCAAACTTTTGAACATTTTTCATCCCCAAATGTCTCCAAACTAAGATTTTTACAGATTTAAGGAGGTTATTTTCTCCTTAACCCAAAAATACAAACACACAATCATTGAGCAGGAGCTTCCCAAACAACAGCACAGCGCAGCAGAACCTGAGTTTGCATTAATAATGAAATGCACGCTGCAAAACTGCAAAAGCTTGTCCATGCAATCAACCCAATGTCGTGTAACACATCCAGACGGGTCTGAAATTCCAGGATGCATTTCAATGGCCAAAGCATTAAATTAGGTGAAAGAGCAAAGACAGAAGAACATCTTTCTGCAGATGTAGCTCCAGTGATTCTTACCTGCACAAGGTTGACCTGAAGTCTCTGTGAGTCCAGCTGTCACGTCCCTCAGCTCTTAAAGCAGGACTGCAGCGGCCCGGATTGGAGCAGCAGTGGGCGAGGTCACAGTATTTAAGCGTCTGCTGAGGGATCGACTGGGTTCCAGCTGCTGCAGCTCTTCAGTGGGATGAGGGTTAGCTGGCGTCTCTATTGTCTGTGGTTTACAGACTGACGCCTCTGAGCCCAAACACACATGTGACAGAATGTGCAGAAAGATCCCGTGTGTGTGTGTGTGTGTGTGTGTGTGTGTGTGCGCG